GTCTGTCCCAAAGGTCGAACCTAGAAATAACGCAGACCTATAAATGTACATAATATGGATGAGATAATTACAAAATCCACCAAACAAATTAAAGAGACAAAAGTCATTCTCAAAATTATAAAAAGAAAAATTAAGGAAAACAAAAATCATACTCCCTTTAAAAGCACACGTTCGGGAAGAGCTTTCCATACTTAAAATTACCCTGTACTATTTTAAATATTTAATTTAAATTATAATCTATCATAATCATAGTCATACCCTATCTCAATACCCCATGAACTATCTATAGCTCAATAATTTAAATATAATTAATAAAATATATAAAACAGCTTCGTGGTATCAATTTATTACATGAAGTATTACAAAAAAAAACAAATAGTTTTAAAAATTATATAAAATACTCTCAAAAGTTTAAAATTACACAAAATAAAAAGCTAAAATTTTAAAACTTGTAAAAGAAAAGAGTAATTTTTTGATATTCTTTCATTAAGATATATAAATGTAACTTATAATTTAAGTTTTACTATCCTTTTTCAGAATCTAAAAATAGTCAAGTTGATGCTCGTAAAAAATAGCAATAATAATAGATTAAAATTATCCAGTTAAAGAATAAAAATTTAAAAATATATATGATAGGTTAAAAATTAATGTTATTATATAAATTAAATAAACTATATATAATTTTACCAATAAGTTAGAGCAGCAAAAATACATAAGTATCATTAATTGATATAAGACTAAATCGTAAAAAAACTGATAAAATACTATAATATAATAGCTTAATATTAATTCATTATAATTTATAAATAATGATCTTTAATGGTAATAATATTTATATGGTAAAAAATTACAAAGATTTATGTATGGAGAACTATCAGAAAATTTAGAGATATCCTTCAAAAGAATCAAGCAGTTTTCATTTCAATTGGAATTCGAACGTCTATGAATCACTTCAATTAACACTAACATAAGTTATATTTATCAAAGAAGCACCGACTAATCCTCCTTGAAGAATATATTGAACAACTTTGTTCCAATCAAAGAAATATTATTCATAGAAGATAAAAATAATTACCATGTCATGACTCTTCATAAGCAAAAAATATAAAATCACCCTTTTTCTTTTTCTTATATAGTATCATGACCATGTGTGTGACTTTATTTAGGGGTATGACTACTAATGAAGGATCAATTCTTAAAGACACGATCAAAGATAATGATGTAATACCACTATTAGATTTCAAGATCTCTAAATATGAAGGTAATATATTTTATTACTAAAATTTTTATTAAAGGCTATTAAATATAAAATTCACCTTATATCTGTCTCAAATTTATAGAGGAGATATGCATGTCATCGTAAATTGCGTCAATAATATATACATCAACCCAAAGATACAACTTACTGAAGAAACAAGAGAATAGTAAGTAAACCAAACAAACATCCATATAACATCGTAAAGAAAAAATATTACATTTTAAAGTTAATATGCAGCGCTCTTTCAGAGTAAGCTGTCAAGACAAAAGCATTTCCATTAAGGCTCTTTATAAATACATCAGAAATTCAAATTACTAATATATAAAACTATTATAATATTCGAAAGAGGTATGATCTTAGAAAACCTACTCTAAAATTCATACAATTAAATCTAAGAATAATTTACCAATATACAGACACACTATCACACCTTTAAGGCAACGATAACTATCATTTATAATAGACTTGAGCAGTGGTTCTATGTTTGCAAAGGCTACAACAAGAAAGTGGATAGAGATGTCAATAATAATTCTCCAAATGATAAATGTTATGGAATCGCCGATGATGTAGTACCAAGGTTAAGTGATACCCCTTCTTCATAAAATAAATATATTAAAATTAAATGTTTATATTATAATCTAAAGCAAATTGATAATAAAAAATATAATGTATTTAGTTCAGGTCCTCATAAAAAATGACACAGACAAAGCAAAAGTAACATTATGACACAACAGAAATTCTTATTGGATGAACAATAGAAAAATTCATTGCAGAGAAAAAAAGGTAGCTCCTAACCTTATTTAAGTAATAAATTAAAAGCATAAAAAAATTTTATATATATGAAATTAATATTTATTCTTATTAAAATAGGAAAAAATCAAACTTTGTATTATCAGAAGTTTGTGTTGAACATAAGAAATATATTCAACTTCTTTGTGAATTTAGACGAGAAGATAAAAGATGAATGAGCCCAAAGAAAGATAACATGCTCCAGTCTTATATCACAGCCGATATAGACGATGAAGACACTACTCTAGAATTATCTAGGAAAAAGATAAAGATGAAAAAAGATTGATCTCAACTCAATAAAAAATAAAATAGAAGTAATAAAAGATAATGTTTTGTGAATTGTTATAGAATAGTTTAAAATTTTTAGTAAAATTAGAAATCTTCAGAAGAGATTTTCATAAACTATTTTTAGTGCTTTCGTATGCATATATGGATGCTTTTATCATATAAAAG